TTTTCTTCTTTGAAGACGCTTTTTACTCATTATTAAATAAAAGTTACATCTTTTGTCCCTTACTACACTAAAAAATATCAGAAGCTCATGTTAAACATTTGTTCCAGCATTTTTGCGCCCTTAGATAAAAAAAACGATAATTGAAATGGGTTCACAATCGGCGAAGATTTCGCCTCGCATACAAAACGAGAACACTTACACACTACTCCTTTCTTGAAATCGGCCACAAAATAAAACAGTTAATATACATGTTTATAAAATACAAAAATGAGACACGAAAATAGAAATGACAAAGTTCACAATCTTCAATATAAATACACAATTATTTTAAATTTTTATCATCGTTGCGTGTTGTAAAATAATAAAGTAAGCGATAGAGAAATGTATAAAGAACGATACGTATTGATTAGACGCAGACGCTAACACAACTTTGTGTGTCCGGTTTTCTCGCCTGGCCTAGCATCAGACAGTGAATTCTAGCTAGCAAGTGTTGTGGTAACTTCGAGTCTTAGGACAATGCGCTATGGTATAACAAAAAGCCTATAAAATCTCTTAGCAATTCATAACATCTCCGTAGTCCTTATTCATGTCTCGTCTACAGCGCTGTGTAATCTGTGCTTGCTGCTTGTGCAAAAAGTATATAATTCCTCGAATCAAACAATATGGGCTCCACTATATACTATTTTTATCTGACATTTGAAATAGTGTTTCAGAAAGTTCTTTCACTGAAAAGTTAGCCTCAAAAGAATATATGTTTACTACAAACATACGGTTTTACAATTACTTATAATTATTGTTGATTAGCGCTTACTTAAGTAATGATTATATCTATACCTGTCTCTTACTATTGTCATTCAGTAAGAGAGAAAATAACCAAAAATGCTTAAATAAAATATTCAATTTATTCCGAGAGAGAGAGAGAGAGAGAGAGAGAGATATTCTTGTAACAATTTTCATATTTAATTGGTAGCTGTTGCTAGATATTAAAATTTATATTTACAAATGTAATCGTATTATAGCGTTAAACGTCGCTTATCACAGCGGATAGAGCACGCTAAAAGGGTGCAGTCAGCTGGCAGTAGCGTGTGAGGATTGCGGAAATAGACATCCGTTTAAGCGTACCGTTAAGGAACATTTATGGACTAAGATATGAAAAGATAGAAAAGGAAATGGATGAAAAAATCAGTCAGTCAGTTACTAGTATTTTCGTATACCACTCTAACTACGTCGAAAATTATTGTTTTTGGAGCGATTTACGACAGTAGTCTAATTGCGCATTCGAATTTAATTATTTTTCGCGCATTCGAAATTTAATTCAACTTTATATTTTCGCAGTTTGTACCCTTAGCCATTGGCCCTTACCATTAGCCATTGTATTCATTTTTAAATGCCGACAGCACCGCTTAGCTCTACAATATGCAGGTGGTTACATAAATGGCAACGATCTTACACGGTTTTAAACTTTAGCAGAAATCGTTCAATACCTAATATTGATTGGCGTGACATTTGAAATGTGGAAAGTTATAAAAACCAGCCCAGTTTGTCATCGCTGCAATAAACCAATGCGGTGTTACCTTTTTACCGCTGAATGATTATGTGTCAACATTTCTCTACTATTCTTGATAAGTTATTTACGTGTATCCTCTAAAACATTCTCAAAATCCATCAAGTTATTAAAATTTTTTAAACGAATACGGGCACTAAGAAGTGGCTATGTTTCATACTATTTATTGATTCTTTTTAGACTAGTACCTAACGAACTAAACAACCGAATTTTTCTTCGGAAGTATAAGTGAGTAAACTGCAATAATAGGTACGTTATGACGTACGTAGACGTAGTACGCCCGAAGGACGGGCATCTGCGGCGCGCATGTCTAATGTGTCCGTTTTCGAACAGCTGGTTGGTTGATTTTGAAAATAATCATTTTACTTAAACTATTCTTGATATTCGTCTCATTTGCCTGTTCACGTAAAGTAACGTCACATTTTACAACCACAAAACTTAAATGGAAAATACCTTTTATGTACTCACCTACATTCTTTCCCTTAATTACTTTTCAATTAGTTTTTCTTAATTGGTTAATTTACACATATTATAGGTTAATAATTGTTAAATACCATTCATAACAATATTATTTTTCATTAATTTCATGCCGAGCATATAAATACTTGAATATTTACTTATATATCATTTACGTATATTTATTGATGGCTAAATGTACTACAATGCCCCCCTTACTTTCAGGTCATAACTTATTTTGCTACAACAACCAGCACATTTACCAGTAGTTAAAGCAATTTAGATAAACCATCTTTAAACTGTGGATATATATGTAGAAGCATACAAATTGTATGATTGCTTCTCCATCGCGCTATGTTCAAATATTCAATTATTCACTACAGGGAGCATATTTTTCTTATGATAACTCTGGCATAAATTTTAAATTATATTATTATATAGTAATAGGATAATATAATTATTGTTAATTTTAGGGAATTATGGTGTTTTTGTTTTTAAGATAACAAAACGATTTTTTTTGCTCGCTTTGATACATTTCCGCTACAGTATGGATTTGATTTCCTTTTCAAAAATATTTTTTGGCATATATTTCCAATAAAGTTTCGAAGGCGGATTAGAGCGTTTTGTTCCGTACCGCAGTATTATGTAACCGGGCGTCGCTCGATAGCGACGCGACTGGGTCGACCACGTTAGTAACTTACGTCTACCTATGCCACTTTTTTGTTTGGAATTAGGAAAATTGCTTACCAGAAAATTGTTTACAGCACGACACTTTTCAAGTTTTAAATAGCTCTTTAATTACTTAAAAACAAGTTATACACAGTCGCGCTGAAGTGCATGATCTGATATTTACAGTAGGTACATTTTATTGCTATATGACGATTATAGAGCTTAAAGCTGATCTTCCAGTCATCACGTAAAAGTAATACATATGATAAAATTTAAAATAAAAAAATTAAAAATACAGTAATATGAATAAACTAATTTAATTTTCACATTTATATTCAGTCACTTTCAGTCAGTTTATATATGCCGATTAAAAAATCAGCGTTTAAAAAGATAAATTAGTAATTTATTATTTTTAGTTATCCCTCATTGCCGTTAAATAGATTTTTGATATAAACAAGAAAAACGAAATAATACGAAAGTTATATCTAAAACTGATTTTACAGATTTTTAAAAATAACTAGCGCAGGTAGAGTACACTAGAGTTTTGTTAGAAATAATAGATTGGTTTGTTGCCGCAGTATTACGTAATGACTGTCGTACGAATGCCCTGATTTAACAACAGCTCGTGCCCTTCAATTAGCTCTTTCTATTTCATACTTTCCAACAATATTTTGTTACATTAATTTAGAGAAATATCTTTTAAATTGACACTCATTTTGCATCCAAGCAATGCAAAACAATAGTTGACACTTCTGAACATACGTATATTTAAATGGTATCAATGTACAACCATTTTATACGTATCTACGTTAGATTTATTTAAATACTATGACTTTGGTTGATTTAACTGCCGGTACTGATGGGAAGACTAGGATAGGGTAGGATAGTTAGTGTAGTATTTCATGGTAAACTGTGTCGAAAACGTTAGAAAAGTCAACTAGCGACACTACAAAATTTTTGCTTATCCTTGTTATTTCTTATGATCTAACTTTGATCACCAAAGTACTACTATGTACAATGATCAGGGCGAAACCCCGACTGAAATGCACTTAGTACGTTGTTTTATGAAAATAAAAAAGCGTATATATACGTCCCACTCGTTGGACATAGACCTCCTAACATTTCACGCACCACGCAGCGCAATATGTCCACAATGCGAGTTGTAGGACTTCGCATGACATCGAAATATTTTTTTTATTTCTTATACTTGCTTGTTACCTCACCATGTGGTCTTTCACCGCCAAATACGTGGTAGATCAGCACTTAAAATTGCAATTACATAACAATTTCATTGATACAAGCGCGGATCGAACCCGGGTATCTTTCGTACTGTAAAATTTAATAGGTTTAGTTACTACGGCATAGAGCATAAAAATTTGCTTAAAACACAGGCTTCCAGAATTTTGAGATTTTAGTAAATTGAAGTGGGGCGAAAGCGATTGGGGAGGAAGAAGCGGTTGTATAAAAACCGTTAGCAAAAGCGTAATTGACCTGAGCCCAGAGAATAGTTAATAATATCTATAATAGCTAGAAGTAGGCACTCTAGATAATTTGACGTATAGAAAATTCAGGAAGTTGATGCATGTGGGTAGCTTCGATTCGTGCTTTATGGCAATCAATAAAGGAAGTCTATTTTTAGATTTAAATTTTGACAGGCTGTATTGATCATGAAAAAAATGAAAACTTTTTCTCATTGCCCTGTCAATAGTCAACAATGGACTTGTTAGAAGTATTTTCGATAATGATATTATGGTAATAAGAAGCATATAAGTGTTGCAGCAAAGAAGTCCATCACGTTGCACTGGAACAATTAAATGAACTTTATATAATCGTCTTATTTTTTGTGTTCATGAAATTATACTACTCGACCATTTTAATTTTATTTAAACATAAGTGACAAAGGAACTTAGAGTCCAGCCGATTGGTAAGTGGCAATTTAAAAAAAAGAAAGCTAATGATGCGTTGTAACCTCTGCGGACTAGATGGAATGACCTGCAGCCTGTAATTATAATGGCTCTCTTTACTCTTCAGACCGAAACCGAATTATTGTTGGTTGATAAGGAAAAAAATTATAATTAAATTAAATTATTTAAACGACCGAATGGATATAACCTGAAGCTTGCGAACCGGGGCACAGAATATATAATAATAGTACTACGTAACCACGGCTCTATTTTAATCCTCATAGATGGTACGGTACAATTGGCGAACACAAACAATGGCGTACCATTTTCGTGGAATCTAACAATTTTTATTTATCTGAATTGACGAACTATTTATTATCTTAAACCATGACTCTATTTTGTTTCAGTTACATTTACCCAACAATGGATGAACTGGCCAACCAACTCAACTACGTGCTGGGTCATTTCGGCATAAAATCGTTTATTGGTTTTGGTGTAGGTGCGGGCGCAAACATCCTCGCAAGATTTGCTCTCGCTCACCCCCAAAAGGTAAATCCATCAGTAAAACTAAAAACTTACAATGTGGTAATGTAGAAGGGAATAGACACTAATTCAGAATTAAATATCTGTAGGTAAGTTGGTAGCCACTGCAGCCGTTGGCTACCCGCACTCGAATTAGGAAAGTTACATCGAATTGTTTATTTTTCAGCAGAAATACTAGAACAAAAAGGGGTTACTTTTTAGTGCTAGTATAATACTAGCACTAAAAAGTAACCCCTTTTTGTTCTTACCTTCATATGAATCAGAATCATATGGTATCAACTTGTTTTTTTTTACTGACTAGTTTTTTGGATAGTGTTAAGTACTTTTTAAAAAAAATCTTTCTTTAGCTAACTTTCTGTAGACCTCAAATTTTGTATCATTTTTAATTAAAGTTTTAAAATCTTCCACTCGCAACATTTCACCTCAACCGCTAGTGGAAAATTATTTAAGGTGAAATAAAGAATAGTTGTTTTTAAAACCTTCTACTAACTTTATAGAGCCAATCTGTCCAATGAATATTCAAGTTATTCATATATTTCGGTATAGCCTTCAAGGACTACACTTACATAACCAATCAACGTAAGACTACTCGCAGTTACACTACCTTGTTTTAACTCAGCGTTTAATTATTTTAATGCTAATTCTTTGCTAGTCATTAATTCCTCGTATCATTGCAGGTGGATGCTCTAGCCTTGATCAATTGTACTTCAAATCAAGCCGGTTGGATTGAGTGGGCTTACCAGAAGATGAACTCGCGCTCACTGCGCTCTCGCGGGATGACTCAGGGCGTCCTTGATTACCTCATGTGGCATCATTTTGGCAGGGTGAGTTTTGGCTCTTTTGGAAAATATTGCTGGTTCTGTACAATAAAATTATTTTTTTCCTTGTGACTGTGTCGTGTTATATTGCAAAATCTTCTATGTTATTGTTATACCTTCGAAAATATTTTTCTTTAAAAATTCCCCGTTCAACTATTGTTGACTGGTATAGGCCAATTCTCACATGATATTAAGATTGAAATTGCGTTATAGTATATTGTATGGACTGTATGAAAACAACTACAGAACTTTAACAATAAAAAGATATAAAGGAATTTATGTCTTCGATTTTTAAAGTTTTGAATAATATGCATCATAAACGGTAAATTTAGGAACTAGGTATATATGTGAGGGAAGTATACATAGGATACATATTTATAGGATATATGTTATGGTTGTGGTACGAAAGGGTCGGCTCGACCGGGGCAGAACCACGCTCTCACAGAATACCAGCGTAAGGTAACAGCTTAATGCTGAAAATGATTTTCATTCTTTCATTGTAAAATGCACCTAGACATACTAGTACTCCAAAATACCCTATCGGGTTTGAATCGGCCCTTTTCAGATTGGATATGCAAGCCGACGGCCCTTTTGAATTGGATATGCGACCTGTCGAAACAAAACTGTCTGTGCAATAAAACTTGGGACCCGACGTTCGAATTCGAAACTCCAAGAGCCCAAGAGTTTGCAACGTTTTCCATCGCACCTAACTCTTGTTTCGTTTGGCCCGAGTTCAATTTTCCACGAGGCGACTGCATTTTGCTTTGTTTCTAGCTATATTGGAATAATCAATAAAGCATTAGCTGAACTGAGTTCATTGTGTGCTATGCGATTTTCTCACTGAATTTTCATGAACGAATTTCTAGTGAGTGATTATTCTAGCGACTGAAATTAGTAATTATTTTGTACTAGCCACAAGCAAGTTTTTTCTTATGCATTAAAGTAAGTAATTCGTTCTTCCATTCATATTAAAAATATAAAACTGCAATTGCAAAACGTGCCAAACATGCCAACTATAGCAAGTATCCCTCCCACGAAGCAATTTATAAGGGGAGGCCTATGTTCAGAAGTGGGATTTAATAGGTTGTAATGGAGTTGATTCCATCAATAAAACCTGGAATACCTTGAATGGTGTTACTATGTTTTTGTAGATTATCATATTTCGTATAAATTAATTATTAAAGTTAACGTAAGCATATTCGAATTTTGCATTCAAAAATAAATGAGTTTGAGTAGGTACACAAAAACCTGTAGTGATTGTGTGTGCATGATGAACTAAAAGTAAATAAGTCGGTTCGCTATGAGACATTTGGTCCGCAGGGCACACCAATTTGCATTTCATCATGAAAACAGCGTATTTATATTATTTTTTTTGTGTCTATCAATGGACTATAAATATCCAAATACGACATAATATATTTCCACATAAATAAACGCATTGCGATATGAAATATATTTGGGTTTGTAAAAGTTTTCAATCATTGTACTTATTCTCAGTCTTATTTGCGAACGACAATTGCGCTACTATTTTCCGTCTAGACGCCGAGATTAAAAACATTTCCACTTTATATTAGGTACCGAGCGGATAAAGTTTATAATATGAAGTCGTTGCGAATATCCAGCAAGCTATTGCGAAATTCGTCTTATTTGCCGCTTTGCATTATATTTGCTTGAATTTAATGTGATGTGAATATTACAAATGTTGTTATGTTATTGTTTAATAATTAAATAGTTGTGACCGTGTGTGATATTCATTTAAGTTTATACGATGTATTATTTTATCAATAAAATTCTTCTCTTCTTTGTTTGTAAAGCCCTTGTTTTTTTTTTCGTAACTTGTACAAATTGTGTAAAGTAATTACTTTTGAGATAACAGAATGGGGCACCAAGTTTGTTGTACTCGTATACTTATATAAATAAGCCGTAACGTGAATCTGTCGCTATTTCACCAAAAGTTCACTATACATTTGCCTTCCATATTAGAAAGGAATCAATGCAGCACCAGAAGTTTCACATGAATAATGTTTTACCGTCAGTACCCAGAGGAGCGCAACCACGACCTCGCTCAGATGTACCGCGCTTACTTCACGCGTAACGTGAACCCGACCAACTTGTCGCTGCTGATCGACGCGTACGTGCGCCGCTCCGACCTGGGCATCGCGCGGGACTCGGCCACCATCCGTGCGCCTGTGCTCAACGTTACCGGGGCGCTCTCGCCGCACGCCGACGACACCGTCACCTTCAACGGCCGCCTCCAGCCCACCAACTCCACTTGGATGAAAGTAAGTCTGGCGAAACATTCTCGTACATGACAGATCACGCTTACTTAACCTGACACACACCACAATGTCGTATCTTATTCAAACATCAATGTAATTCGGTGTGAACCATATGTCGCTTAAAGTTTAGCCGCATTAAAAACTTGCAGTTCATAAATGCTGAATTGTAAACAAAACAGTATAACGATTGATGAAATATTTTTGTTAAAAATCAAGTAATGTTGTTGTAAAGATCAACGAAAGAACCAGTTTTAACACTACAATAATGCAATGAAAGATGTGAGTTAATGCTATTACTCAATTATATAAAGGGAACGAAAAATTAATATAGAGTTACAAGCTAGTTATTACTGATAAATTATGTATATATCACTTTTTAGTTATGCTTTAAATTTTCATATTATCGCCTCTCGTCTGGTGGGTGTCTAAAAAAATGTATTCTCATATATTACAGCCTATTAAGAAACCGTAATGTGGTAAAAGGTACGTAAACCGTTATATTTAAGTTACATTAACTATCCCCATAATTTACCTCATAGGGGAGATATTTGTCATAGTTATCACGTTTAGTAGACTGTAATGCAACCACAGTTCTTTTTTACTTTCAGTTGTTTATTAAGTAAGAAAGATGCATCTGCTCATCTCCTGTTTGATACCCCTCGGTTGCTTTTTCCACATATTTCGAACATCCACAGAATGAAATGAAATAGTAGAAGAAAATATATAAATGCTAATAAGGTTATCTTTTAGCATCCGACATTTGACGTCGAAATAACTAACACATATAGATTATATACATTATATAGTCTCTTGTGACAGTCGTTTCCTTGATGAGATTGGTGGCATATATAAAACTGGCCACTATGGGAGGAACATGAATTGTTCTCTTTCGATAGTGAATGGATTTTATATTGGATCAAAACCAAGTAAGGACCGTATCTTACTTTTACAGAAGAACGACGAAAATGTATCGATTCAAACCTTGAAATTTTAAAAAAAAAATTAATCCCGGCGTTTTTAACTTTATGTAGAGAATTTTTTGTAAGTAATATTTTTAATAAAATAAACTTTTAATGTCACCAGTTTTAAAAAAAAAACACCTGCCAGACTATTTCATCATATAAGCGTAACGTAGAGAAGGTTAGGTTAAAAAGAAGAATACCTTTGTGTTGCCGTGGATAATTGTAAAACTATAATGTCTATAGTGCTCTGGATGCTACTAATGCTAGCCGGCTGCATGTTCAAATCGTTGCCGTATTCAAAATCGGCCAAGCGAACATCTCTCTGTTGAAACGAAGCGAATAAAAATCTATAATTGCGTCAGACTTGGCAACTCGTAAAAGTTTTGTGACACAGCCATCTGGCGTAATAGACCTGCAGCAATTGATAGATAGCGGTCTTGTTTTAAATTGCAATTCAGCTAAAGTTTCCTCTTTTATATTACATTAATATTTGAACTAAAATTATTTTATTTTATAAAATATGTGTGAAAAACGAGCGCACAGTCCACCTGATGGTAAGTGCATGCTGTGTCTTATAGATATCTGCATTTATCCTCGTTAAGAATCACATGCAGATTTATCGTCAGCCCTCAGGAGTAAGATGGAATGCCTCATTACCAGTAAAAAGGCTCTCCGGTTCTCTACAATTTTTATTACGAAACACAGCAGTAATGATGCTATTTTAATAAGAATATCCTCTACCTCACATCATCCCATAGGTGTCATAAGAGTTGACAAAGAGAAATAAATCAGAAAATAAAAAAACTGCGGTTGCCAACCCGCTTGCCAAGCGTGACAACTATGCCAAATATCCCCCGGAGGTCTGTTTTCAGCTTTGAGCTTCAAAGGCTGTAACAGCTGGTAACGGTATATAATGGTATACATATGTATACCATTATATGCTCACTCCATATTAAATATGAAGTTCACAAAAGTTTGTTTCTATAATGTTTTTTACTAGTTACCTTAAACCTCTAAAGTTTTTTTTTACCTGTGGAAAAATTCAACCTATATAAAACATTGATGGTAAATACAAATAGGCAAACTTCTTGAGAGTTAAGAAAGTCAATATATTTGCAAAAAAAATGTTTGATCAGAAAACTTGAAGTTTAATTACTTTGGCATATATGTCATTGTTCGCACATTTTTTATGTATTTTTTTTTTTTGTAAAATTTAAGTGACGTACGAACTTACCGTCCAACTGATGGTAAGTTACTGCTGCACCCTACAGACACTTGAAACCAATAAAGTAGACTATTGATACGTTGTTGCTTTCGAGGTCTAAGATGGAATGCCTCACAGCCTGCATTTATACCGACTTCATACCCTTCAGACAGGAAAACAGCAGAGCAATTGGTCACTAACGACTTTACAAAATTATCATATTGTTGTAAAAAAAATACCTCAATTTTTTTGGAAGAACTGGAGACTGGAAACTAAAGAGACTGCTCGCGTACACGTTGGTTATTTAACTCTTCAAAGCTTTATCATGATCTTCTGACTTCAGATTACTGCGATTTTTTTTTTTCATTTTCTGAGCTAAGGAACCAGTCCATCTAATAAGTAGATATGAACTGGAAAAAATGTTTATTAAAAATCTTACATTATCAAAGCTGATTATTAAAAATAAACTTTACAGATCTCCGATTCCGGCATGGTGCTCGAAGAGCAGCCCGGCAAAATCTCGGAAGCTTTTCGTCTCTTCTTACAGGGAGAGGGTTACGGTAAGTAAGGGAATGTCGGAACCATTCGCCATTAAAAATAATTCTACCATTGTTATAGCATAGTCCTAAACATTTACGACGTCAATGTGAAGCGAACTGTCACATATGATAACTGAATTCAACAAGAAGTATTCAGTACAGTTTCTTCTCACCTAGTGATACCGTGTTAGCTCCAAATAAAACATTAAATAATATTTTATATGTAACTTTGGCTGCATTTATTCATTCATAAAATTGATAACTATTGCATTAAAATAGTAATAACTGACTCCCGTCTTACAGATTGCTCGAATTTATTGTATACGGTAAGGTCAGCGAGTTGCTTAGTGGTCTGGGATTTTTTTTTTATTAAAATTCAAAATCAAAAGATCAACAAATTTCAAAATTTGCTAATGGCCGTCGTCAGAATTACATAAACACAAACAGTAGTCACGGATAATTTTTAGTATCTTTCTATATTCCTCATCTTTATGGGACTCTCCCGTTGTATAGTAATCATGATCGAAGGAATCGACAAACGCCATACAAGACCTCGCCACCTTTGATGTTTCTCTCTGTTACATATGATAGGTAATAGGTATATAAATACGAAATCGATTGGAGCGCACGAAATCTTTTGAGTGTTTCCATAAATCTTCTTACGCATCCTCACCATCTTTGTACCAAAAACACGAATGAGATTGAAGCGATAAATCATTTTATGCCTTTACCACTCAATCCGAAACTATGTCAATGTTATGACATAATGATGACTGACTGACTTTTAAATGTGGTAGTGCCATGCTGCAGCTATATTAATTGTATAGTTGTAGCACGAATGTGTCGGCTCGACCGGGAAAAGACCATGCTCTCACAGAATACCAGTGTTTCGTATGGTGAGTGTAGAGAACTGGAGATCCTTTTTATTGGAAAAGAGTCCATCTTAGTCCTCACGACAGACAACGCATTTGCATTTTGATTTGCAAACGAGGATAGATGTAGATATCTATGGGTCACAGCAACCACTTACAATCAGGTGGACTATAAAAAATGCACTGCATAGGTTGTGGTGGCAAAGTAGATTCAAAATGCGAGCAATATGGTACAACGATCGCCTGGCATGCGTAACTCTTTATCAGATTAAGTTAATCCTTCCTGCTACGAGACTCCCGTGTCCAGCAGTGGAATGGTGACGAACTGATTAGGATGAAATCAAATATCGAAAACCAACAGCAATAAACAGGCAATAAAATTATCAAAATAATAACGATCATAGATATATTGTAAGCATTATACAGTATGTAAAAAAAAACCCTGCCCGATCCGGAATGAAATAGATACCATAACGACATTACCTAAATCAAATAAAACGTCACAAAATTATTAATGAATATATCTAATTATGTTGTTGTTATTTATAATAAATATTTTTGCTAAAGTTTACATAAAATTAAAAAAAATTAGTAACACTATCGTTAGAATCAGTGTTTTGAATGTATACTGTCGCCCGAGGGCTGCCCGCGTCGCATATATTGCAATATAATTTTAATTTTTGTAGAGTATTTTTTTATTTATTTACTGAAAAGGATTACATGAACAAAACCATAACTTGATATTTATATACAAAAGAAGAAGCACCCTCACGGTCGGAAATGTTTTTTTTTACATATTGTGTATTTTATAAACAACAACAAACTCTTTGAAGCGCCTTTCAAGCTTAGTTTATAACAAAAAAAATATGTTTTCAATATACTAGTACTGATTGATTTATATTGACGGTCGCCGCATAGGACCTTATTGTACGTGAAATGAAAAGCACATACTACTTGCAAACATAACGCAACCTACTACAAACACCCACAGATTAGCATTCTTACATTATTTGACGCGGACCTTACCTTACAATTTTATGTGATACTTTAGTACTTTACTATAATAATTTTATACTGTATTCATATTATAATGAAAACTTGCCAACAATTGAATCTTAATATTAACGAGAACATTTATATATCTAGGTCATTTTTAATAAAGCTTTATTTAACTGATTTTTAACACTACAATTAGATTATGCTCTACCATGACCACCATACATTACTTATTTATGTACAGTTTCATAATATGCGAAGCCATCTAACGTGATCTACGTAATATAATACAAGGCCACAGTTCGCTTAAGTGAATACACGTAAGAGAACATTTTTTAATTTTTCGTTATTATGTTTGCAGTTTTTCACGAATTATATACTACATTCTTTGATTAAGATGGTGGACATGGCATGGTGTAATTTAAGCAGTCGGGTGCCAGCTTTGGCTTTCCATTGCATTACTATGCTGTTAATTGATTTAATTAACAAAGGACTTGCCTCCACGCCTTGCTCAATAAGTGCAATGCATCTCTTGTTTACACTAATAACACTTAGCTTACCTTCTTAGCGAATGTTCTGCCCTACTGACCGGCATGACGCGTATGTTTCATTTTAAGATATTACAATATACCTAAGTTTAAATATGTTTTTATATTTTATTTTATGACGTCTTTCTAAAGTACGATGTGCAAAAATATTTAATTAAGAAAGATATATAGGTTCCTTTAAATCTAATAAAGGAATACCAGAAATACATAAATGTATAAAAACGACTAAATACTTAATATTTTTGCCTTCCTTAATTTTACAGCGAAATTATTTTAATTTTTAATATATCTATTTTATCCTATAATAAGAATAAAAATTTGTTTTCAATACAATCAATCCATAAACATCATTAACAAGTTTAATCTATAGTTTAATGGTTTATTTTACAAACTATAAAACTGCTGTCTTATTGAAGTTCATGAAATATATTACAAAAACTAACAATAATTCATCACTGGTCTGAAACCCATTTTTTCTTTTTCCTATAATTATGTTTGAGCCTGGATTTGCGATTGAGTTATGCGGCATCCCCAATTACTTGGTATGTATGCAGACAGCTTGCTGCGTCAACATAAGTTATTTTGTAATTAGAGTTAATATATTTAGAGGCACGCCTATGTTTGTAGCTTTTCGTAGACAGTCAGTGTTCTATTATTGTGGGATATGTTTACCAAATTCTTAGTAAGTGTTGAGTACGTGTCATTTAAACGGCGATGATTTTTATGTTGGTAAACGTATTCAAATTTCATTGTAATCATGTTTATTGCTAGTGACTTTGAGTAGAGTACCTCCATATCATTATAGAAGACATATGTATGTATCATGTATTAATAAAAGGAACACATCATTCATCTTATCAATTGAGTGTCGTAAATATCGACTAAAAGATATTAAAAACCATAGCGTGGTAGCTAACAGTATAACTTCATATGGACAGTAACAATAAAATATTTGATGGACGTTATTTTTGTGCTTCGCTTCAAGTAATGTACACACAAATACAAAAGCAAAGAGATCGATAACCAACAGTAGAATGCTAATTGTTATTGATGTTAACTGCTATTTCTTTAAAGATTATTAGTTACCTTAGTTCAAACCACTCAAATTTTTTTTCCAGAAGGTGCATTCTGACTAGCCGTTATGTTAATAAAATATTATATCATCTACAAAAAACACAGAAAATATTTTTACTTATGTCCCTTATAGACTTTGAAATCATCCAACCGATTATAATGAAATTTTTTGTGTGTTAGAACGGGTCCCTTAATGGTTTATGTTTACATTTGCACCCGGCAGGTGATGTTGTCGAGATCCAAAGATCACCCGCGCGAAGCCGTACGGATCGCTAGTATTTTATTATCTCTGTACAATCTGCTAATACTTAATATTTGAATAAAACTAGTATTTTAAGAATTTTACGCGATAGCTTTACCCATTGTGAACTGATTTTCATATATTTTTTAATTAATCAGTATTAAATAGGTCATCATCCAAAAAGAGCGGTAAAATGGCGAAAGAGTTTTTACATAAGACAATGAGATTTGTTCCTCAGTTCACTCAATTAGTAATTTCCAGCTGAAGGTAGACAGACAGACGGGTTTGACTATGAAAGCCGCAAAGTACACGAAACATCGGGAACATAGAAAAAAGTTAATCATACGTGATAAAATTCGTAAAACAAATTATGTAATTAAATGTGTTGTGTTCGCGTAAACAGTAACAATAAATATTTAAAGTATTAGCGTATCTTAAATAGAAGTACATTCCATGTACGAACTATAATTTAGTTTTATAACTGTCCGCTTATTGTTACTGGCCATATTATCTCAATTTATAATTAAATTCCAATTTATAAGAAAGATCATTGTTGTGTCACTTTTAATAAAATATGTTACATAATATTGGAAGATTTTCCTTTGATGTTTTCCTAGTATGTTTTAATGTAGTCTAGAAATGTCTATTTTCGCAATATTCATTTCTGTAATACGAACATATTAATTTTCATACATTTATTTTTATTTTTGAGGATTACTAGAAACAAACCTAATCGGACTTATGTGTCTCATCACAAGACAGTAAATTCGTTCGTTATTGTGTTTACTAACAAATTATAATAAAAAAGAGGAATAGTGCATAACACGAATATTATTTAGTTATTTTTTTATTACTGTAAGGTGACACAGGAGCTAATAGTCCTTCCGATGTTACGCGGCTCCTACAGCTCTTGGACACCTGCAACAAGCATCAACCTAAGAACACTAAGGATGCGTTTTTACCCCCGAGGAAATGCCGCATAACTTGTAATAAAATTAGCACTCTTACTTTTCAAACGGTAAAACAGCAGTGAATGTAGGCCAGTGGTACAAACCTAGAATCAGGCAAAATGAACCCTTGCTACCTAGATGAAGTTTCTAGTAATCCTTTTGCACCTCTAGATTACGAAGCGATGCCTCGCACAGTTGCCATGCAAATGGTTTCGTTTCATATATAAACTTGTGGCAAAAGTGTGGGCTCCCATAGCGTCCGTATATTGATATAAAACTTTTGTTTCCGCTCCGAAACCGGTAGCCGTGTTGTCACTGCAAAAATTAAGCACTCGCCGCAGTAGTAATGTATCGCAGCCGAGCTCGATGACCAACTAGATCGTATGTTGCTATGAACTTTACGTATTCGGAGTAAGTTGTATTTATTTTTTTATTTTCCATTTTTACTCAGTCAGTGGCGAACACCTGTCAAGATTTTTTTTAAATAAAATAAGATTTTACCTCTCTGTCGCGTTATAAAAAATTTATTGAATCATTCTTGATAATGTTCGTCAGTTGGCTATTTATTTTTGTTCCGTTGTTTTTTTTTTATTTTTTAATAAATTATAATTGGGCTCAAAAATTAATATTAAAATATGGTTTATGGTATCATGCATGTATGGAAAAATTCTGTTTGGCACTTCTATTCCCGGCGATCACTTAACATCCAGTGATTTTTTTTTTGCGCCCGAAGCAATTAAAGGGCTACCCTATACGTAGGGAGGCGGAAAATGCATTACGCATACCACGATAGCCGGTCTATCGTGGTTATGAGGGACTCACATCCTACCGGGGACCCTAAGTGATACCCTCTAAAAACCGCCTTTGGGGACAGGCAACCGGCTGATTAAGCTGTATTGTGCCTTATCGTGAGCGACCCTCTTTTGGGAAAAGAGGGCGCAGGCGGCTACGAGCCGCTGAGGGAGTGCCTACGAAGGCAAATTAATTATGAGTAAATAATTTAATTTAATTAAGTCGGCCTGAGCCGCCAGGAGGCAGTTTAGGTCGTTTTTTAGTTTATTAGGCGGGTCAGAGAGAGAGTTTCTCGGCCTGCGGACTCGATAGCGAGAGGGGGGTGGGGCTACATAAGTAGCTGCCTCACGAATTAATTGGTTTGAGTGCGACTCTGAGGCTTTGAAGAAGTTCTCAGAGAGTTTTTGGAGAAATTGTTGAATTGTGGGGAGCTCTAGGTCCCGATGAAGGTCAGCATTACGGACGTACCAAGGTGCGTTCGCAGCTCGACGACAGAAAAGGTTTTGACTTAACATCCAGTGATCAAATGAACCTTATATACTCGTCTGTCGAAACAAAATGGCCGTTATAAATATGTCTTCCCCCTACCACCCACCCACCTCCCAATTCCCCTGCCTAATGCACAATGCCAAATTATATATACAAACAGATTGCTCATAGCAATTGGGGACACAAGTTGTTAAGCATTTCCCGAATATTTAAAATGCGTAAAAAAAAGTACGTAATTCGGGTATTTTTCTATAGGTTACTTACTACTTATTATTTATTTGACTATGATCAATGATTTTTCCAGATTTTCTCAGCGGTACTTGTAGCCTCTAAGAGGAACAGCAATTTTTCAAGTTAGTTAGCAAGAGCATATAACGGATATGATGATCTCAAATCTCAGAACAGTTTAATCTACTTTCCTTTTTATCCTCCCAAACTGACCACATAAGTCGAATATTCAATATACCTCATGTCTATTGGAGCAACCGTATTTAACAATTATGCTAAATTCCATTCATTTATATATTATGGTTGACAGAAAGACACTGAGTTAATTCCATAAATACAATGGGCAATTTACTGTTATAAAAATAAAATTTTTGGTGTGTTTTTTTTAAGTCTAATAAAAATGTAGTGACCTTATATATAGTGCACCCAAATTGATGAATGAAATTAGAATTTAGCACTCTTGCTTTAAAAGCGCTATTAACTAATTTGCGAGGCAAATACGCATGATATGTGCATGCCTGTTTGCCAAATGCTATCATACCACACGTCAATGTGCGTGATTTTGCGTTGTATTCTGTTGTCATACAAATAATGACTAAAATATTTGGGGAATTGAGAACCCAACTCAAACTCAACTCGAGCACTCCACCTATTTATACCATATTTCATAAATCACAATTATTATTTTATAAATGCCTCAATCACTTCAATGATTTTTTTGTTTGTGAAATAAGATTAGAATATAATGCCATTACTGTTTAAATACAATAGCTAGGCTAACTGATACAGTGATAAATCAAAGTGATATTGGTAGGACAAACTAAATGTGCGTAACAGCTTGAAACTTTAACGATGTATGGAGCGACAATTATTTGTTTTGGGTTGCCATTCTAATAAGCCATATGTTCGCTATTTCAGTGGCGCCGCTGTCGCCGACGAAGATCGTCGCGTTCCGGCGACTGTCGGACGCTGGTCGTCGCCGTCCCTGCCGTCACTCGCCCGTAATCCGTATCACTGAGAACCCTATATCGGAAGCGGTAGTCTGCTAAACTCTTAGCCGACCCCTACATTCACCACCCCCACCATAAAGCACTTCGTCACCCGTTCTCGCGTACGCTGACGTGCGTTCGCGGAATTTTATTTCAATAAATCATTTAGTAAGTGATTACCACTCATTTATCAGTTAACACTCCACGCCTTTGATAGTCAGGACATTATTTATCTTATATATATATATAAATATATATATATATATATATATATATATATATATAAAAATATATATATATATTATTAAACTAATTATTAAGTTATAAAAATTAAATTAGGATTAGGGCATAAATTTCCGCGATCTTCCGTCAGGGAAAGTCGTAGTTAAACTTATTCGTAGTCGACTGGGTTAAATCGCGTGGGGTCTACCGAACCATGCACTCAGTGTACATATCTCGAGGTAAGACAGCCTCTAATTTAGAGTGAGGCATCTAAGTTTAGCGTGGGATGCGAGACGGGTGACACTAGCTTCGCACGAGGGAGTCTCACTGATCGACTTGTATCGTTGTATAGTTATAGATAAATTTATTAGAGGCACACGAATATATACTTCACATGCATAATATATTAAATATATGTACACCACTATTATGCATTAAATATTAAGTACTCTGGTAGGCTAGGGTCGACACCATTTAACACAAATATTAACGTAATGTTTCACTGGGTTACAATAATGACCATACGTAAACGCAAACATTTACAATATAGTTCAGTAACCGCTTTAATCTGGAGTAAGTTTCACTGAAAGTCGGCGATCTCTACAAGGGTCGCAGTCTATAACTTTGTAGTACTAAAACTTTTTGGAGAAACCTGCTATACATATTTAGAACGGTTAATGTAAAGTAGTAGTTAATTGAGAATGTTCCACGATGGGCTGCATTAATGTCGCTGGGTGCTATGCTAAGACCAAGGAAGTTTTTGAAATCATTTAACGAAAAATTTTTTTAAAATCTTATTGCTATTTATTTTAAAGTGCTATGTACCGTTAGTTTTAATTCAAGGCCTCTATTGTGTATCGAAGAGTTGTGATCTATTTGTTAGAGTGAAAAGTTTTGTATGAATCAATTGTTATTTTAAATTGCCTTATGTTAATTCTTTATATTTATTTTTCAGTATTATAAGGATTTTAGAACTTTATTGTTATAAAAATGTTACTAATGACATGTAGAACAAATAATAGAAAATATCTTTAGTGCATAATTAATTTTGATATTTGTGACTGTATAATTTTAATGTTATTACATCTACAAAGCAGTAATGTTACAAATACATTCTAAAAGTTTTTTTTATCTATAGCGTGGCGAAGACTGCTACAATAAATGAAATGGTTTATTATTTCTTGTTAAATAAGTATTATAAATCATTGAATTTTAGACATCGATATAAAAAATCAAGAATACTATGTTCGTAGGCGGTTCAGTTTCTTAATGGAACGTCTTTTTTATAACTGAATATATTAACTTTCACATAGTAACATCATATGTCAAATTACTACATTGAATAAATTCGTGTATTGTTTATGGTTAATTAGCGCTGTTTCGATTTTTAACGTTTATTGTAGCATCGTCATCATCCATATATTTGCTGTTGGTAATTTCCAGATTAGATTAATTTCGCTAAGCATATATACATAGGTTCTTTAACAAATCCATTTCAAAGTGTATTTCAGGATGCATAAGAAAATAAACGGACGAAAGGAAAGTAATAAGAAAGGAATTTTTGTAGCTATAATAGCGTCAATCCGTAGATGTTCGAAAAAGATATTTGTTTGACGTTTAGCATAGACATGCAATGCGGGGTTGTTTCCGCGACGTCAAACACTTAACTTTCTGCATATATAACAAACGCTTTGTAGAAGTACAATAAATAAAGATAATGTGCAATGATTTCTAGAATCTCAAATTCCATCAAAGCTAAACTAATGTTGTTTCATTTGAATGTATTACTAAATTATTTGTGAATTTATTATAAGTCTATTAAAAAGTGATTTTACCATAGTTGTTTTATTTAGTTACTTATTAGCAGTGTCCGCAATGCGGTACAATGTCTTTACCCGCGACGGAACGGAGCAGGTATAATATGCGTTTAGGAGGAGAGAAGTTGTTTGTTTGTTTGTGTGCAAATTAGTGTTCCAATTTATCTCCAAAACGGGTGGACCGATTTTAATGCGGTTTTCTGAATTGAAGGGTTTTAGACTCATCAGCGATGTTTCTTAAGTTGGTGTTATGGTGTTAAGTTGCCAGGGGGGTGCTGCAATAAACATAACACTTAGCGGGAACACTTATTTATGTACAAAAAGGAATACAATACTTAAGTAACTTGATATTATATAACATAAATAATCCTAAAATAATTTTTTTTTTATAAAATGAAGTAGTTGATAATGTCATATACTCAGTTCTCCCACTCGTAAATTTTTGAGTAACTCAACGAAGGGCATCGTTTCGCTGACACATGTTGCGTTCAATTTCGCAAAATCCAAAGTATCTTACAGGTGTGGCACCGCTTAAAAATGTGCAAGTAACTTGAAACCATTACTCCATTTTACGGGTGGTGACTGATTCAAATTAACAAAAACGAGGACAGTTACACTGCCAAATAGAGAGTCATTATTTTTTAACTTCTGAAGCCTCAAATGAATGCAGTGAAACATTCCATATGAAACCATGGAAATCTCATCGCCAATAATCCAGCTAGTAGTTTTCCATTTGAGTCTCATATTTTTTAAGCGTTGACCAGTTAATTGTCTCTGAGTGGTCGCTGAACCATTTTCGATACTTAATTTAAATAAATAAACAGATAATGCATTGTGAAGTGTTCATCCATTCACAGCGACCTGCTGCTGCGGTGATGGCAGTGGCTATAACAAAACATGGCTGAAGCAAAGCAGATACAGTTGGCTTATTACATCTTTTAACTTGCACAACAATCGCTCTCAGAGTAAAAGTTTTACCAGATCTTGCTCCTTCTGTATTGATTAATTTCATTGTAACATCCGGTGGCTTTGTTTCGTAGCATTTAGACAGTAACGTAGAAATTATCTAAAAAGTAAAATATAAAACAAAGTAAAAAATTTTTAACAACCAACATCGGATATAAAGGTTGTAATAGAAAAAAATCTTCGAAAAACCCCCCGACTATAAATAAGTAAGTACCGAAAGATAAAAATAAAATAGTGTTTTAAAAAGAGTTGATTTGTCGCGGGGTCTGTCATAATAAACAACTAACTACGACTTTCCTTAGTCTTCTTACCTTTCTGTACCCATTTTTATGTCGCAGCGAAAATCAGCAATAATATCAAATATAGGTATTACCATTTACATAACATAAACACTCACGCCTGTCACCCAGAGGGGTAGGCAGAGACTACAGACTTCCATTTGGCACGATCCTGACACACCTCTCTCGCCTCCTTCACATCCATACACCTCCGCATACATGCTCGTCGGTTAAGGGTACTCCTAATTTGGCCCGTTTTCAATAAATCGCCAATTTGGTAGATAAATTTTCGCCTATAACGTCCCTTTCCGACTCTGCCATTCACTTCTGCAACATAAATTTTCTTTGTCACTCTTTCCTCATTCATTCTTTCCACATGACCAAACCACCGAAGCATTCCTTCCTTAATCCTGGTCACAACATCATCTTGCAAACCACACTCTTCTCTTATTACACAATTTCTTACCCTGTCATTAAGATTCAGCCCTAACATACTCCTTAACGACCGCATTTCTACTGCGTTCATTCTACTCTCGTGCTTCTTCTGCCACACCCAACTTTCACTACCATACGTTAAAGTAGGGACCAACACAGCATTGTGAATTGCCATACGTGCCTTTTTCGACACATTTTGACTCTTCACAATAGAGTGCAGGGCCCCATTTACTCTATTTCCCGCATTCACTCGTCGTTCTATATCCTTATCATATCTCCCATCCCTGCTAAATACGCAGCCCAAATACACAAACTCATCCACTTGCTCGATCAACTCCCCTTCTATTCTTATTTCACAAATCGTTTTACTTTCTACTCTTTCAAAAACCATAACCTTCGTCGTTCACTTTCATACCCCTTTCTTTTAATGATCTTTTCATTAATGTAACCATCATTTGCAACTCGGCCGCCGACGACGCAAGGATAACTTGATCATCGGCGTACAAAAGGCATTTAACGGTTAACTCACCCATTCTTAATCCGCATTCTTCAACTTTCAAATTTTGCAAACAACTGTCCATAAATAGGTTGAACAGCCACGGGGAAGCCACACAGCCCTGTCTGACACCTTTATGGATGTCAAACCAGTCAGAGTAGACCCCGTTGATCCTAACACAAGCACTAGAGTCCCTATAAAGGGACTCCAATGCCCGTATCAAGCCATTATATTATTCTTGGGTTTGTAATTATATTACCTTATATATAGTATTACCATTTATTAGGTAATATAATTACAAACCCAAGAAAATCTGTCGGGTTTGCTATTGCCGTCTTTGTTCCAAATTTCAATTTTTTTTATAGGAGGGCAAACGAGTATACGGCTTACCTGATGGTGACTACCGGCGTCCATGAACAGCCGCAACACCAGGGTAATCTTGGTGGGGGTGGCTGCATAACATTTTAATTTTATTTGGGCCTGGTTAAGGTGATGATGTTGGTCGAGGGCTTAGTTCTGAAAAGATCCTAGTAATGATGGGATCATAGTTATTTGACGCCAAAATACCAGAAAAATCTTCCATATTCCTATAAAATACACAAAAAAAATATAATTACTTTCATACAATAATACCAAACTGGTATTGGCCAAAATATTGCCGTCGTACCCTAACGGCATATTGATAGTGGCATACATATTGCCGACATGATTTTCTAAAAATATTCAAAGATTCGTCAAGAATAATAATCAACTCATAAAAATGTAAGTACTTACAAGAAGGTACTCCAGATTTCGAGATGTTACTAAAAACCGCAAAATACGCACTTTGTCACGAAAGTCTTTCTC